CCTGGGAGGATCATCTCAATCCCCTTCAATTGAAAAATTACACTATTTATATAGGATTTAGTTTTTATGTATATAAAAATATATATTAAACCTCATTCAACTTCTTCATGTGTTTACTTCTTCATATTTTGAGCTCCTTAGTGAAAATCCTGACTCCATCATTTGGTTTCAATAATCCATAATTATATTACAAACAGAAATACATCACAATCTGAGTTTTCAAAACTTCAAGTTGGGGTAGTTGTAACAAAATTATGATTAGAACTTGTATTACAAGTGTTCTGTAGCTATAAGAGCATGCACATTTTTGGCTCAGCGCAATAAAAAATAACTACTGCTGCTGTACTACTATTATTCTAGTACATAGAGAATTCAGAAGCATCACGAAAATCACATGTTTAAAGACGTAGCATTTCTTTTTCAAAATTTTTGTATCAGCGTGAAGAGAATAAAAACAAAACACCTATTAGGAAAATGAGGAAGATAGCTAGAACGAATAGAATTTTAGATGAATAATTGAATAAAGAAGCGTAAAACAATAAGTGAATCAAATAACTTACTGAAGGTGCCAAGGTACAAGTCTTTGTTGCCTGCAACTCTTCCAATTCTGGCTTGCCACCTCCCATGCTGATGATGCCTGCCCAATTTCCCAAGTTTCAATCAATGGGTTTGCTATAGTACTAGATTTCCATAGGTATGGTTTATTGGTTTTTGCATATGATTGCACATGCATAATAAAGTTTGCCTGTGCCCCTATTATTGAACATGGATAATTGCATTCAAAGAAAGCTGCAAATTTTGCAGCAATAAAATAGTAAATGTGGTAAAGAACTTTAATCGTAAAAAAAGGTTGGTTTCCCTTTTGGTTTAATGCTACTACGAACCTTGTTACTCCTCTGTACATTGATGCCCCTCTTGAAAACCCACTGCTTTTCCTGTTTTAACATAAAAATGGGATACCATGCTAGGTCAATTTTAGCAATAGCATTGCAAGTATGTTCCTTCTTTTTCAGTGTATCAGGCCATCAAACAGAAGAAAGAAAAAGAGGACTAGTGAAGAAAATAGAAGGGACATTACTCCCCTATGTACCTTCTCAAGTGTGCTACAAACTCTTGCCTATTCATATTTTTCATCTCCTCCAATTCCTTTTCATAAGTGTTTAGCTGACATTATACATGAAAGATAACAACATAAATACTTAGAGAAATAGAACAATATTGTTTAATTACGAGTTGTGTTCTGCCCATGAATAAGAGGGGACTTGTTACAACAACAACAATAACAAGCCAGTTTAATCTAATAACAAGTGTGAAGAGGGTGGGGTGTGTGAGCAAGACCTCACCCCAACCTCATACAGATAAATAGACTGTTAAAGCAAAGACCATTGACTCGTGCAACGCACATCAAAGCCGTTAAAAGAAAAAATATAGAGGACATATTATTTGAAGCTGCCCATAACTTTCAGTATAACAAGAATCAAATAATCATAAGTGTACTTACGGGGGAATTAATATGCGTGTTCGGACCCCAGTATTTTAAAGCAGCTAAATCATATGCTCTAGCTGCCTTTTCCTCCGTGTCATAACCACCTGTATTATTGAACAGTTCAAGAATTAAATTAATCACCAAACATTAGTCCAAAATATACATAATATATTCACATTGGTTTCCTTTCCACATGTCAACAATATATTTTAGGCCCGAAAATCAATATGTAGATAGAGAATGTCAATTACCTAGATAGACTGATTGATCCGAATGTTGGAGGAAGCAAAGATTAGAGAAGAAAACAAGACAAAAGTTAATTAGTATATTCTTGAAGAAAAACTTTTGGAGAGTAAAATGTTGAAATTAAATTCAAGTGTAATTTTTTTCGTTGAACACTAGTTAGTTGTAGAGAATCAACTACACTACTGACATTATTCTAAACACAGTGAGAGAATGAAGCAGTACTACACACCTTGTCTGCCTTTCCTAGTTTGCCCTTCCTTTCTGCAACTATTATCCCACAAATGTGCCTCGTATCTTCCAGTCCACCGATGTCTAATTTGGTCAAATTCCATCTCATTAAATAAAGATTATTCAAAATGATTTAGAATTAATATGGTTAACATATCTTTTTACAAGCTTTTAACATAACTATAATATAGAGTAGATTTTTTTTTTTCAAAAAAAATAAATAGTTGAATTAGTACCTGGTGACTCCGCGGTACTGCGAAGTTCTTTGCCCAAAAGTATCAATGGATTTGCGCGGAACTGATTCCTTTGAACCACCACCATTTTTAACTGCTACCGGCCGTTTTTTGGGAGCGGCTGCAAGCGAGAGCGCCTGGCAATTGCTAGGATTTACAATTTCTTCAGCTGACGACATTAATGGTGCAGCAACAGAAGCCTGGCGTAACCACGATTTGAATCCAGAAACAGAAGTAGCTCCGTCAAATGGCAGATGATAGACACTACTAGTAGAGTGTGCAAACTCATGATGAGAGCTCTGCAATTGACTATTTTGAATCATCATCTGTGGAGACTGGATCAATTTCATGTTTGCTCCAATTTCTAACTGGTGTTGTTCGTGATCAGATTGATTTATGCTTGGTGGAATATTAACGTTGATTTCAGAAATTTGTTGTTCTTCATTAGAAGGAGAATTTGAGTAACAGCATCCAAGGAAATCCTCAAGCTTCGGACCCTCTTCTTCTTCTGGATTATTAGCAGTACTCATTTCATGATTCTCATACCTCCAACAATCTATTTTTGAAAAACAAGAATAAAATTACAGTATCAACTTCTCTTTTAACACATGAGTTAGCAGTGGAAAAACGGAGCAAATCAGTAGAAATACCTTCAGTGGGTTCACAGCGTGGGAAAGGATCCATCATACATAGAGAACGATTAGTGCTTAAAGGCATGACCGACACAGGAGTATTTTCAGCAGCTTCGTTTCGTCTTTCGTAATTTTTTACTTCTTCTTCATCATCATCATCGATTCTGAAATCGGGAGTAAGAGAGAACCCCAACCAATTACTCATTGTAACTATGAAGCAATTTGAACTCAATTTCTCTCTCTAGAACTCCGTGAGCGTTTTTTGTGTGGAGTTGGAGCTCATACTTTGAAGATCCCAGTGAAAGGAGACTGGAGTGTACATTTTATATATATATATATATGTGTGTTATATTCCTCCAATACCCATAAAATGTCTTATTTTCGCTAGTGGAATATATAAGATGAGAACAACAATTTCATTTTTTCTTGTATTCACATGCCCATGAGTGTATACATACAAAACTTTGAGACATTCGATATACTAATTTAGGAGTGAATTTTAGAATGCTTGTGATACAGTAAATCTTTTGTAACAGTTACAATTAGGAATTTTTGAAGTATTAAGAATTAATTAGATTATATTTTTACTTTTTAAATTTTTTATAAAAGTCATTCAAATTTGATGAAATTCAAATATATCTTAAAATATTTTGATTCATCGCGTTTTAATTTTCGATACAATTCTTTTTGTGTTGATACGTCACGTCTCGATTTATAGGAATTTTTTGAGATTATAGTAAAATATGTGTGGTATATTTTTTAATTCTTATTGTTGTAGTCAATAATTTTATTAAAAAGGTGTTTTGGACTTGTGCATTTGATTTTTTAGTTTGAGTTTTCGATTTTTGATTTTGAAGAAGTGTAATCCAATTCGAACCAAAATAAATTTGATTTGACTTTTCTCTTTTTGGTTTGGATTTTTTCAATTTGGTTAATCGGTTATGTCAATATTTAGAAACATAGTAAAGTTATATTTGTAATTTTTTAAAAAAAGTTATGTATATACATAAAATATTGAATTTCTTAAATATACTTTTTAATGTAAATCACAAGTAATGTAAAAGGGACAAAAGTGATTAACTCCAACTTAATTCGTTTTTTTCTTCAGTTTTTCGGAATCCGAAACAAACTAAAAAATCAAACAAAGTAAATTATAAATTCAAAATCAAATCAAGAATTCAAAAAACTAATTTAAATTAGAATTAGATTAGATTTAATTTAATTTTTTAATTTAATCCAAATAGTGCACACCTCTAATTTATAGATAATTTTTGAAAAAACGAGTTGTATTTAGAGTTGAAGCGGAGATACTCGTATGAAAGTTGAAATTGTATTTTAACAAAATAAAAATATTCGAATTTCTAGGTGAAAACTTGAAAGTAACTCCTAAAATAACACTTATCCCGTCGTAGATGAATGAAAGATAAGAGTAATATTTAGACGTTATAAAAAATGTAACAGTGAAGGGGTTTTTCTATTTTGTTATAACAAAATTCATGTGTTTGGGATATTGATAGAGTAATCCGTATTATTTTATTTATAAAAGAGTCTGAGAAGTCGGCAGAGAGAGGTGTAGGCTGTAGTTCTTTATAGAGGTGCCTCGATTTTCGTTCCGACCCTCTCCTTTCATTTCGTTTCTCAGTTTTGTGGCAGCGGAGCGCAGCTCTGTGGACATGAGAGAGAGAAACGCCTCACAGATACACTACTACATTTTTCTCTTCAAGTATTATTTGTATTTAAATTTTACGACAACTTGTTTGTGGAGAGACTTATGACTAATAAATAACCTATATAGGAAAAATATTATCATTTTTATTTGTGAAAGATAGTAATAATCAATAATACAGAAAAAAAATATTTAAATTAGTATTTAAGAAAAATCATTACACCAATAATAAAAATTACATTTTAAAGCAAAATTGGTTGAAGAAAAAAAAACCAGGGCGTATGCTTTCACGCTATGTCTTCAATTTGTTTGTGCCCCAAAAAGTTTTTGATACGCCCTCGTCACAAAAAAACATTTCTGGAAACACTGGTTACAACCGTAATGACTAAATCTATGCAAGATTACTTTCAACTTCCAATACTAATTGGAAGTACTCATTTGATCACTCAAAACTTTAGGAACCTATTGGCCTACTTGAACAAACAATGAATATACAACTCTACCAACAGTTGTGACTTTGACAGGGTAAATCTCATTTATGAACTTAGACTATAAACCAAATGAACAATGATTCGAACAAGTACAACAAGAAAATCCTGTCTTGTAATCTAAATAGTTAAAGAATGAAAAAATTATGAGCAACTATGATGAATTTTTCATCGATAACACTAAGTATCATTCATCATCAAATTTCTCTATGTTTCCTTTTCTATGAAATCGAGCATGGAGAGGTCTAGGAGCCCTCTGTTTTCTGTCATATCCTCTTACCACCATGAAACCTGTAAGGAGAATTAAGGTGAAAATACAAAAGACTACTTCAGAAATATTTCTTGTCACATTGTCCATCTATACACATAAAGGCAACTGTGAGTTACGGTTGTGATATTTGACTTGACCTTTTTAGGAAACATAACACCATCAAATCCAACACTACAACACTAAAATGCCTTCTCTTTTGTCTAATTTTATCATAGTTAAGGATTTCCTTTGCTAGATTCCGTATGACACCTTTGATTCGAAGGTTTGTAGAATGTGCAAAGGTAGGGTGTAAGACTAACGTACATCCTAACCTCTGCAAACCTACTAGGTTTGTTGTAGATCATATATAATGTGCAATCTGTTTTAGCCAAAGCTTATTTTCATTTTTTTTACTATCTAGTATAGAGGTGTAAAAAATGAACCTGGTTACAGATAACCCATCCATAATTTTAAAAATTGACCTCAATATAATTTGAATTTTGCTCAATCTCAACTCATTCAAGCATTAACTCATTTAAAGAGAATCCTTAATTGAGCCCAATTGAATCTCCAATTTCAACATGTCTTAAGACCCTTTATTTGCATCGATGTAATGTATCCTTTTAGGATTTAACTATCCATGTGTAACTTCTTTTTTAAAATTTTCATGAGTTGAAATTCAAGTTGTGATTATAAAACTTGAAAAAGAATATATAAAAATTATTGAGATTTAGAGGGTCAAATTGGCGGGTCAAGACCTAACCCATTTTTAAGCCCATTTAGCTTAAGTAAACTTGGACGGGTTAGGAACCAACCCAATTTCTATTTTAGCCCAATCTGCTCATTTGATACTCCTAATCTAGCATATTAAGTTCAAAATATGAAGGTATAGACATTCCTAAGAAAAAAGATATGTGAAGGTATAAAATATCTTAAAATGGAAATATTTTTTCTTTCAATTTTATATACAAAAGAGACTATCCACATACCTTTCCAGAAACATTTCTGAATATCCATGGTTGACAAGCCTGGTTTTGATATTATGAGTAATATTAGTATATATGAAGTCAAATCTGATAAAACATTATATCATATAAAAGTAAAATATAACAAGCAACAATATAATTTTACCTTTTACAATGGACGAAACTGAAGTTCCGCAATATAGAGTTGTCACTCTCAAATTCCATATGGAGGCTCTTGCAACGGGAATTGGATTTAGGCTCGACTCATGATCAGCGAAAACCTGGTATACAAAAAATTTGATTTGTGAGTGGGCTGTAACACAACAAACTTGTTACCCATACTAGACAATAACACGATCTGATTACCTCGTTGATCTGGAAGTAAGTCCCATTCAGTGGAAAACTTCCCCTATTTGCCGTCCGACATGGAATCTGTAAATTCATGGATATATGTATTCATCTAAATAAAGAAACTCTTAGGAAACAATATGAAATGAGACACTTATGATTCACTTACCAAAATCGTCCCATAGATTATTTCATCTTTTGGAAAGTAATTTGTATTGTCCGAACATTTCTCTAATTCATTGGAGCTAGAATCTTTTCCATTTTTTTCCTGTTTATGCACAACTTGCTCTAGAAGTTACAAAATAATTGTTAGTTCAAACTGTGTATGGCCAGAAACATTATTAAAAGAGAATTTTTATAGAAACATTTATACTAAGCATATCCACAAATGACAAATACTTTTTTACCTGTTTGGCTGATGGCAAGAAGGTAAGGGCAATCGTCATCAGGCTCCCGTTTCTCAAACTGTAAAGAAATAACATTAATAAATATAGTTGCAGTGAAGAAAATTTGATAGGATGGGATGTATAAGAGATTACCCCACTCAAAAGAGGATGATCATCTGGAAGCTCATACCTGCAATAGACCAATTTGTGTGGGTTTATTATACATGTGGGACATACTATTTACTTATGCTATAAGCATATAATTCGGTAACTTTAGATATTTGATACACAGAAAGACGGATTAAGTATTACTGTTACTAACACTAAGTGCTCAGTCCTAAGTCGAGTCTCCGTCTTCAATTTACGAGCAGGACACGCAGCAGATTTTGGATTCAAAAGAACCAAGGCTTTGGACACTTCTTCATCACTTTGCAATTTACTGATCTCATCAATAAAGCTCAACACAATTTCTTTGAAGTCTTTATTGGACTTGTCAATGAAGCTCAAAATATTTTCTCCAAAAGCTTTAGTGTTGAGTTTGATGGTAGGAATCTCCTGTTCATGCTCTGCCTCATAAGAGAAGTCTTCAATGTCTTGTTCCAGTAATTCTAGAGGTCTGTGCTCTGGAGATTCTGGCATTTCTACGATAGGCTCATAATGTTGAGTCTGAAAGCTGGAATGCGAGAAGCTTTCGCTAGAATGGGGCAAATTTGGTAACGACACACACATGTTTAGGACGTCATCAACTGTATCAGGTTGCTTAGAGTCAGCCTCTCCTTTCTGTTGTGGTCCTGGGAGGCGAAGCCTAGTACTGTATATTGCAAAATTTATAAATATTGTAATGCACAAGGATGAATTTGTCTTTTTCTTGGAATATTGAGTATTCAATGTCGAAAAAATCAAGTATCTTGTGGAATGTCAGATATTTCATATAATAAACAGATTATTGTGAGGCCTAGATATAAATTTAATTGGAAAAAATATATATATTATTTTATTTTTATAAGCAGTAATCTGATGCAAACCTTGCAAATGCACTAGCAAAATGCCTGCATTCGGTTCTCAATGGGCAGGCATCACAGTTTGGCTTTTTCTTTGTACAGAAGACCTGTGTGATATTGACGAAAATTCTTATGCTTACAATAAAACTAATCAAATTATCGTATCATTGACTATTGAGTGCAACTGACCTTTCCGAATGTGATCATGTGATAATGCAATTCATATCTGCCAAGCATACCAACTTAATGAGCAGAAGAATTTCCAGGACAATTTTTCAGTTACAACAAATCCATTGAACAAGAAAACTCCAGAGAAAATGAAAATGCTTACAGTGTTGACACATCAAGTTCGCATAAACGTGGCCAAAGGTACTTTTGTATGGAACTCTCCAGGGGGAACCTAATTGAAAATAAAATCAACAATTAATATATAATAGATCGAACATACCAACACTAAATAGAATTTATTCGATACATACTTTTCCAAAAGATGCATTTGGAGCCCATCAGGTAATGGTTGCAAAGGGACCCATCCTAGACGTACTACTATCCGAGCAACATTTATGTCAACCTTCAACCAAAAGTATAGTTAAATAAGAAAAATCCAGTATGCCGAGATTCCGAAGGCCCAACAAAAGTGGATAACCACTATATGCTGTATACTTACCGGGAAGGAATGATGTCGAAGTGACAAAAGTCGAATGCAATCCGTGCTCTTCGGCCCAAGCCCATAAATACTCAATAAATATTCTCTGAACAGAAGCAAGATAATAAAAGAATGCTCTATGATATATTAGCTTTTAAAATATCACGATGACCATAACTTTGACTAAATAATTTATATTCTTACTTCACATCCTCCTTCGGGACATCTCTTAACCACTCAAGGTCAACGCTTCCATGATGTTCAAACGATCGATTAAGAAAATTCTGCAAAGTCCGCCAACTAATTGGTTAAGAGACCTTACTCCCAATATAGTACACACTCATAACATATTAAGAAATATATTATATATCCATAAATATTTGAATTTGAACCTAGTATTATTATATTACCTAGTTCAGGTTATTATAGGAACCTATACATTCCAAATATTGGATCCACGACTCAATACAATCAATGGCCTCTACCAAAACATAATAATAAATCACAAATATCTTTAATAAAATTCATGTGTTTTATTTGAAATTTACTCTTTTAATATCTTTGGATGCAAAGCTATGAAGTTATCCTTTCGAGGATTCATTCATTCAATATTTCTTTTCATAGACAAAAGAAAATAATTGATTTAGAAAAGTTGAGTTTAAATAGTATATAACACCGTCATAAATAGAAAACAAAATAAAAACAAGTGTGGGAACAAGAAAAAATAAAACAATGTGGTAGGTTTATGTAATTAATGAGAATTTCGACAACCTAAACTAAAACTAAAAAAATGGAAAAGCTTTCCTTATGATCATTTTTTTTGTATATTATATATAATTACATACCATTTTCAAGTATTTAAAAAAAATATAATTCTCTTTTATAATGACACAGGAATGCACTAACTTTTTTTCAATATTATCAAATTTTATTTCAAAATATGAAGTTACAATTAATTTTATTTGTTCAGAAAGAGTCCTCTTTATTATTACAAAGTTACAACTGATATGAAGAAATTTTATTATTTCTTTATATATTATGACATTAGGAATGTAGTAAATTTTCTTTTCAAATTTTAATTGTTCGTTGTTATTTTTGTATCTATTTTTAAAAATAATTAAAATAGGGAAAACAAAAAGCAGAAACTATTAGGGATATAATATTTTTATCAATTATTGTAGACATATTAATGTAACATATTTCTTTTTGCTTATGTTTCTTTTCTAGGTAAAGAAAAGGAATCAATTAATCAACTCTACAGTACATCATTCGTAAAATCATAAATGAAATGAGGGAAGTCAAACAAGTGTACCTTAATTTTTGCAGCAAGAACATTACCCTGTCCTCGACATTTAATTTGTTCAAAAATCATTTTAACATCAGCATGTCTAACAGCTTCCCAATTAACCGAATCCCTGTTACTTTCAGTGGAACCAGTATATGTTCCAGTAGAATAGGCTTTCCTCAATCTATCCCAATCAAATTCTCTCTTTGGCAATTTATTTTTCTCTCTCGACATCTCGTCGGGCAAATCCCCTGTTTCATTTACTAAATCGCAACTCTTAGCAAAGCTTATCACTTCTGGGTTACCACAATTGGCTGAAGACTGACTTCCACATGTATTTTGATTTCCAATATTTTCTTCTTGCATACTTTCTGACGTATTTGACACAAAAATTTCATCTGAATCTGGCAATACATGTGTAATCGCTAGAGCTTGTTCTTGTTGTGTAGTCATTTCTCGACTATTTTGAAGTGGGAACGCTGAAGCAAGAAGCATGAAGGCATTGCTGCATAGGATACAACAAGATTGTTTACACTCTACCGAATGAGAAAAAAATGAGGATATAACACAATAAAGTTTACCTTGAAAGATAATCTGACACGTTTTGTGTTAGGAAAACGCCAACCACAGAGTCTACCACTGACCCTTTCCATGGGGAAAAAGTCCTTTTCCCTGTAAATAGATTTTTAGCATGGTAAAAGTTTAGCATAAAAATAGAAGTACTGAATTACTTGTAAAAGAGAAATTCTTGAGTTGTACCTAAGACGAGACACATGCGGGCAATGAATGAGTCTGCTCTTCCTTTAAATAATTCTCTTTGTTCCTTCCACCATATATTCTTCTTTTCATCCGGGTCCTCGTCAATTCCACCATTTTCTATGAGTTGTTCCCACACTCGCTCTGATTCACTATCAAGATCAACCTTGGGCAATTCTTTGGCTTTGCGCTTTTGAACAATCATTGAACCATCAAGATTCCTCAAGACAAGCTGGTCATCATTAACCTTGGGCAATTTTTTGGCTTTGCGCTTTTGAACAATCATTGAACCATCAGGATTCCGCAAGAAAAGCTGGTCATCATTAACCCTGGGCAATTCTTTGGCTTTGGGATTTTGAACAATCATTGAACCATCAGGATTCCACAAGACAAGCTGGTCATTATTGTTGCTGGTTGTTGTTTTCTTTTTATAAGTTCTCGTATCACAAATCTTTATTTTTTTAAAAATCCGAATAATTGCTGCAACGGTGATTATCTTTGTTGAACCTGCAAAATTTCATTCAAGGTTATATAGTACAAATATTATGACAAGTACAAAAAGGAAAAATGCATGTCTAAGTGGATTACGCTTTGTTTTAGGCAGCAGATTCTCATGTTGTGTGTATTCCTGAATTTCACTGCAAGTTGATTTATTTGTTCTAGGCAATAAATCTTCATGTTGGGGGCACTCTTCAATATCATTGCAACCTGATTTATCTGTTTGGGGCCACAAACCTTCATGTTGCGAGCATTCCTGAATTTCATTGCAAGCACTTATTTGAGACCACTTATCTACAAAAGATTCAAACCCATTGATTGCACTTAAACCTGACTTAAGGCAGAGAGGATCTAGAATAGCAGTTGATCTTTTGCAATTCTTAGATCTCTTTCTTTTGGACGTGACTAGTGGAGACAAAGTCAAGGCGTTCATGGGCAGAATTGGTCCTAGTTCTGTATTTTCTTCCCTGCGAGCAGACAAAGGTAATGGTTCTAGTTTTGTATATTCTTCCCTGTGAGCAGACTTGGTCCTCTTAGGATGGATTAATCTCCTCCTACGAGACTTAACCATAGGGGACAAGCTGAACACACACTCAAAAGATTCTATATCAGCCATTGCAGCTGCAATTTGATTCTTGTTAGGTAGGACCATTACAACAAAATGTGATCTAAATTTTCCTTTCTGCCCCGATTTCATATTTGAAAAACATGTATTTTTAGCACCATTAACAATTTCAAAATCCCTCCTGGTAACCCTCTTGCAAATTGTAAAAGAGCTCTTTGAAGTCACTTTGCTCTTTGTATTAGTATCCAGTGGATTCCAGCCTTTGTCTGCATAATCAGCAGTGCCAATGTTATTTGATGTCCTGTAACTTTCCAGAAAATCAAGCCGAGAACCACCTTTTTCTTGGGATTTATGGTCATTCTGGGAGGTCGTTTCATTTCCTGCCAAAGGCACCGCGCCAGTGTTTCCTATTGTCCTCCTTTTATAAACTTTCACAGAATGATCCCGACAAGCCGAGATTGTTCCATGGTTGTTCGGGTAGACGTGAGCTTCATTTCCTGCCAAGGGCATCAAATCTATTTGAGTTTTCCTCCTTTCATAAACTTTCAGAAAATGATGCTGACAGGCTCTCTGATCATCCTGGTAGATACTAGGATCATTTCCTGCCACAGATATGGTGCCTATGTGAATTTTTCTGAATAGAAAGATAAATTCGAAAAATTCTTTGAGAATAAAAAGATTTTCAGCAAAAATATAAATAAAAATTTGGTTACCTTGGTTGGGTTGGGACTCTGCCTCTAAATTATCTTCTAAGCCAATGGAGCTATTTGTATCAACTGCCTGCTCATTAAAACCGTCCAATGGATTTGTCAAGAATTTGTTGTAACTTTGAGTTACATGATATCTAATCACTTCTGCTGCTTCTATGGATAAAAAATCGTTCTCATTTTCCAAGTTGAAAGGGAGAGATCGTTTACATGACTTCGAAACATGTCCAAAATCTGTAAGATTATCGTGCTCAAAATCTGGTGGACTTATTGCTGAGAGAGCATGCTCAAGAGTTTCTGGTTGAGGAGTTGAAACCTGTAGGACCAGCGATCCGGGAATAGTTTCTGGAATCTTACTATTAGGTGTTTGCATATAAGCATCTCCTGATAAATCAACTGAAACTTTGTCGTGGTCCTTTTCTATCTTCTTCTTTATCTTGGCACTGACCTTAGAGTTACCTGATTTTGGAATTGAAGGCTTTATCTTAGGCTTTGGAGTCTTTTTGGGCTTACTTTCATCAAAAATTTTGGGTGTGTGTTTTCTCATTCTTGGTTTCTTCAGTGGTCTTTCATTCATGTCTACGCTACCACATTGTTTCTTTCGTGGGTTAGCCTTTGTCATAGGAGTTGAAGGAGCCACTGTCGCAGATTCAGAACCACCATCCAAATGTCGACTTAGAAATTCGCTCCTCCCTCCGATAACATCAGAAACCTCCTCATCCTTCTTTTGGCTGTTATCTGCAAAAATGTTTGTAAGACGGTTAAGTGGACTTGAACTTAATGCAGATCTGGACATTAGAAAATTGATAGTGGTTTAGTTGGTGTCTAATTACGTCAATTATTTTTTTAGTACATCAGATATGGTTAGTTCGTGATTCCAATATTAGAAATACAGGTGGGAAAGTAAATGATCAAGAAGGAACGCACGAGTAACATCATGTAATTAGTGCTCAAGTAAGTAAAATCAAGCAACCAAGTGCAGCATTACAGTTAGTTCTACCATTGCAATGCTACTATTCCAGTGGTTATTGTAGTAAATGGTACCATGAGGTTCGGCAGTATTATCTTTACAGAGTTTCCATTGTTATTTGCAGTATCACTCCTTTTAGATAGTTCACCATTATGCTTTTACTTATTCTGTTATACTGAGCCTCGTAAATGTGTGACTTGATTGAAATGCTATTCCTTATTCTTACTGGTTTCCTCCCTTTCTCACTTCATAGCTTTATTTTGGATTAGGTTCATTTGTAGTAATTGCTACAGTTATTATATACTCATATTCAACTATAATCACTAAGCTCAACTAAATTCTTTCGAATCCGAGAAATTACTCCTAGATGCTGCATGTACTTAACAAACATTATACGGCACTAGTCAACAAATTACTTCATTGTTAACTACATGAAGTTACTAAAAACGCCAATAAAACATGAAAAACCCATCATACTGAATCCATGATAAAATAAAACTATGTTATGCATTGACCATACAAAAGAATATTTACGTAGGTTACAATTTATAGGTCAGTTTCAACTAAGATAACCATCCATTGATAACCTGATAAACACAATAACTACAACAGTTATAACATGTCAAATAGTAAAAATAATTACACTAACTTACATGAACTATTTGTGGACCAAAAATTGTTCAAGCCAGCATTGATAGAGTTAAATTCTGTTGCTGCTGATATGCACTTGAAGGGTGTTATTGGTGTAAAAAAACCTGTTTTCTCCAACTCTTCCTGGTCTGCATTGCCCAGTTCCATCCCTATTTCAGTAACACAGAAACCCATCAGAATTAAACCCCAAAAATACAGCAAAAACAAATTAGTCATTTCAATTAGAGATCAAGCCAAAATTAAACCAATTTTTCGTCTCTACAACAATTCAATTTGCTTTTTTGGCCAAAAAGATTGAAATTTATTGCTACTTGAAGATAAATCAATTCATGAAATTCTCCGAGGAACAGGAATTATGGAAAGAGAAAAGGAAAAATTGCAGAATTAGCAAAAACATACCTGATTTTTCCACAGCAAAGAATGGAGGTTGATGTGAGAATGGCGCAGTAAAATATGTAGGGTTAAAACAATTTAACTTCTATCCAACGACTAAACTTTTAACCGTATAGCCTGAATTTAAGTACTCCTAACCAACGGCAAAGCTTTGTTTATTTTGGTTTTCTATCTGCTATCTGGTATATATATATATATACACATATTTATTTAGGTTTTATGTTATGTTTTACTTCTAACTGAGAGTCTGAATGAATAGGTTACCGTTGATATTATTGACATGTTTTATTAGTTTTACTGGGTATGTTGTTATTATTATTATTATTCAAGTAAAAGTTTAATTATCATTATTAATATGTTTTATTTTATCTGAGAGTCTATTAAATTTTATTTGATATAAAACACTTTCTAATAGAGACGACAATGATAATCGTTAACATTATCATGTAAAATCTAATTGTCATAAAATCTATTAAATTTTATTGGGTATAAAACACTTTCCAACAATGACAATCATTATTATTATCATGTAAAATCTAATCGTCATTATTGGTATGTTTTAATTCAATTGGAAGTCTATTATAATTCGCTGAATATAAAATACTTTCTAACAAAAACGATGATAATAAATAGTAACTATGTTAAATTGTTGTCATCTATAAAACACTTTCTAATAAAGACGGCGATTATTTTTTTAAAAGCTTAACGTATTTTTATAAATAAATATATTTAAATCGATAATAGCAAGCATATATTATTATTAAGTGATATATATATATACAATAAAATTAACCGTTGATGTGATTGGTAGCTTTCCCCAATTTTTCATCTATATTTTATATCCAATTCCACATTACAAAACTATTTTCCCCAAAAAAAAAAATTTAACCGTTGATGTGATAGGTAGCTTTCCCCAATTTTTCATCTATATTTTATATCCAATTCTACATTACAAAACTATTTTCCCCAAAAAAAAATTATTTTCCCCGTAAGGAAATATAGCATTCCAGAATTTAGTTTTAAAAGGTACTTAACATGATTATGATAATACATTATTTTTGGGCTAATTTCAAGTACGTAATAAAGTAATTAGTTTATAACAAAAATAAAATTGTCTTTATTTACATAAAAACTAATCAAAAGTTACAGAAAATATACACTTACAAGTTACAATAATACACTCAAAAGGTGAATATAGCTTATTTATATATGAAATATACATTGACTACACATAAATATACACTAATTATACGTATAGATTCGATTTTGATAAACTCAAAATCGCCTCTAAACAGTCCTAAAATTTAGATATGAAATCGACTTGATGAATTCCATATATAAATTTACTCGAAATGAATTCAAATTTTGTTTTTTAAAAAAAAAGAACAAGAAGAAGAAGATATATATATACAGGTCGTGATGTGACAGTTTCCTAGCCCCTTCTTATAGGGAAGCCGCTCCCCGGTCGTTACTTCAAAGATGGATTGTCAACCAATTATATCTTTTCCTTTGCCAAATACAAGTGTACAAGTATCAATGCAAGAGGTGTTGCCTAGAGCACGAACAACGGTGTAATAACCATCAGCAAATCAGAACTACACTAAGTCAAAGATAAAACATCATGCAGTTATGCAGTATATTTAGCAAACTTGTTAGCGATATGTCTCTAACAGTAATACTTTTCTGTACAGTGAACTGAAGCTGAGCATTAGGTAGTGGAGTAAGAGAACCACCAAGGAGAATTTTGGTGCTGATCAATTGTTGATATGTTGTCCGGAGTTGTAGATAAAGTGCTGCTTTGCTTTTTTGTCTGACGAGAGTTGTTTGTATATCACCTATTATTAATAATGCATTGGCGTGCCTTTTCTTGTGAGAGATGGCTTTTTTATCCATCGACAAACCTATAAGAGAAAACATGTGTAATTAGGCCAACAAATTTCCAGACCACACAAGTAAAGAAATTTGTGAAAGCAATATTACGATAGAACAGTAGATTAAAAATTTTCATTCAGCCTTGTTAATCATGATGCACATTTTAATAGGAAAATGATTTTTAGCCGTTGAAATAGCTTAATTTGACCTGACACATATATCGACCTTTAGTTTTATGTAGAATGATGTAGAATGGGAAGTCATACTCATGGTCTTTGTTAGTTGTGGAGAGGTTGGGCACACCTCAATTTTCATGAGGTTTTCTGGGTTTGGAGAAGATATAATTACTTTTGAATGACTTAAAACTGGTCAATCTTGAGAGGCACGTCTTTAGGTATAATAGGGAGATAGATTTATCACTTTTTCCTATTGTGTCTTGTTTACTTAGTAACATTTTGAATTAATAATGCTGGAGATAACAAATGATAACATTGAAGATTTCAGAGCAGAGATCAAGTTTGTGTTGCAGCAGTTGCTTGAGTCTTTGGTTCTTCTGGCAATACCCTTATTAGCAATTGACAAAAGCAATGATCCCTTCACTACATCTCTAATCTTATATAGTAATACGTTAAAAAGAAGTTATCACTTAAGAGGAAAACCTTACTAGAGTTAGTAGGAAGAAAATGTCTGCTACCAACAATAAAGTTGCTTGCCATATTCAATTTCTTGTAGCTTTGGTTTTCAAGTAATAAGGCTTTGTTTTGCCTGTAAGGTTACCTAGAAAACATTTCTGGTGTTGACAAGATCTACCACTTTGCTAGAATTTCTTTGTTTATTTTTCTTATATAACTTTTTGTATCCTTTGAAAATGACTGAAATTTTGACAATTAAGGTGAAAGGCTAAATCTTTTTAACTTTTGTGTGTTGTACCTACAAGATCTATAAGAAAGATTTTTAGAACTTGAATTTGATAAATCCTTAACTCCTCTGTTTTGGAAATGGAGAATTTTCTGGCAGTAAATGTTTATATTATATTCATCACTCACATGCTAGTCTATTAAACCACTTCCCATTTATGTTAATCAGAGAGCAACACGAGTAAACGACATACGCGAAATGTAAGAGTTGAAGTTTAGGAGTTCATTTAGAACCCACGATCAACACTATAGATCAGTAACAATTGAAGCAAAAAGTTTTCGGATGACTCAATCTCCATAAATGATGTTTTGTTTTACGCATTGAGATCATGACATAAAACTCATCTATTAGAAGCAAAGGTAAATCAGAAAGCTGCTCTATGAAGTACTCAACAATATCTTTCCTCAACATACATCAAACACAAAGTCAGTAATTTGCAATCTACGTAAACATATGTATGTAAACTATACGCACATATCAAAAACCTGCGTAGAACAAAGAAATAAACAGCAATTTAGCACTGTTTGCATTTGTAGGTAAGTAGGCAATTAACTCATTAGTGTATGGTGGTCTAGTTGCCTCCTTAGGGACAATAGATGAGTCCTCGAAATAGTTTGATTTTATTCTGGCAATAATTATCAGTTATACTTCTTTCTTTGGTATAAATTCATTCACACAGAACAAGAAAAAGATGAGCTTTGAAATAAAAGCGAAAAAGATTCAAAGAAAAACTCCATTTGCTTTGGATAATGAAAGTGAAGAAATAAGTTCCATAGTAACATTCCACATTCTCATAGGACATGCTTAGGTTGGATTACTTAAACTGCTTTATTTATTGCTAGAATACCAAATGCTGCTCTAACTGTTAACAGAACTCTCATAGGACATGATCTAGCAAGTGTCCTTCTGTGGCGAAGTTATCATATTTGAGGAAAATGTACTGACAAAGTTCATTCCAAGGAAAAAAAGAACACTAACTGAAGGAAATATCATTTTGAACAAGTTTATGCTTTCATTTTGAGAGGAATATAGAAATATATAATCAATTTTTTTACCAAAAAAGAGAGAAATCATTGTATAACGAAAAAAACGATATTTATAGAGAGAAGTTGTTGAACAACAAAACAAGCCAAAATTATGTTCCAGCCAGAATCAGAAACTGGATTCACACATGCAATCACATGACATGCAGTAGCAAAACAGATGTTAATCAATAGGAACACATACATACGCGTTAAACCTCAAAAAGGAGGAACTATGAATTCCTAAATCGGGGAAGGAGAGAACATCAACGAAGTCAAATCAAAACCTAAAATTGAAAAGAAAAGCAGTTATGGAATAAAGAAGATTGAGGTGAAAGTAAAGGTTTTCCAAGACTATTTCTAATAATGAAGCGAATGTATGTGCATAATCAACGCAAATATTTGAGACTAAGAAGAAACGGAAATAAAAAGAAAAACAGAAATCACCACAGATGAAATCGGTAATATTGAACAGAAAGAGGAAAAGAGCACTCACAGAGTATATCAGGTCAGAGTGATTTTGGAAATCCAAATACGAAGAAGAAATTCAGATACAACTGTTTGTTGTTAAAGCATAGATGTTAAAACTGTGAGACCTCCAAATTCAAACAAGGATAGTACAAAGAAATGAGTATTTCAGAGCACCGCTTGAAGACAAGAGCACGGAAATGACAAATCTAACCTCCAATAATCAAGAGTTGTCTGCTATATATTATAAATAATATAAAAATTATAAACATACTAACTATTGTTATTATTATTTTAAATAACAATTAAAAAATCATTACAATTTCCTTTTATTTCTTTATTACGCTAATATTTTGAAAAATTCACCTGACTCAATATTAAAATTTATTATTTTTTAAGTACTCGTGATTAAAATACAATTAAGAAATCATCATAAATCTCCTTTATTTCTTTGTTAGCTAATATTTTCAAAAATTCACCAGTAATTCAATATTGAAGTTTATTATTTGTCAAGTACTCATGATGGGTCTATCTAATTTCCAAAAATTATAAACTTCAATATCCCTTTAAGAATTAATTTCCAAAAATTATAAACTTCTATATTCCTTTAAGAACTGGTTTTCTAAAATACAATCGTCTGTTCCCCCTGCCTCATTAATATAATGTTAGTTTTATAGTAATAAGTAATAATTATTAATTTATTATAGTATCGTTTGTTCCCAATGCCTCACTAATATAATGTTAGTTTTATAGTAATAAATAGAGAAAAGATATAAACACACCATCGAAGTTGTCCCATATTTGCATAAAGACACCTAAACTTTCAAAGTATCCTATCACCCCACTAAACAACTATATATCGTTGTAAATGAGTCAATTTTACCCATTCCCTCGTCTAGGTTGTTTACACGCACGTTAGGCGCGTCATAGATCAATTTTCACTTTCATTGACCAGCTTAAAAGTGCCACATGTCATTTTCTTTCTTTATTATTAATTATTTAATCAATTTATGTCATCTTCCCGAATTTAAACCCAAAATAGATGTGATAGCCCTAATATTTTGATTTTCATAGAAAGAACTATGTTGCTTCGGATTTCAAAGGTGTGACGCCTGAGTTGTTTGACACTCTTTATGCTATTTTAATTTTTGTTATTCCGAGTGCAAATGATGAATGGAGTCATAATGAGATGGAGATAGTGGAAGTAGTTGCTGGCTGTGGCGCTATTCCTATACGATGGTTCTTGAAGAGTCACAATTAATGAGGGAGAAACTAGAAGCGAGGAAAGGTTTGCTGCAACAGGCTAAGGAGAATGTTGTGAAGGCAAGCCAGGCGAGAAATTCGTTTCGAAAGGTAATGAACAATGGAATGAGACGACCAATGCATTAGATTTTGAGTTTGCTTTCCATACTTCAAGATGAGAACACAAGCTCTAACCAGAAGATTATTATCGACACAATGGTGAGAACGAGCACCATTCTGTTCGATTTAATAGATGAGGCAATAGATATACCTGACAAAGACGAAGGGAGATTCCCAGATTCCCAGTAGAAATGATGCCGTTTCAGTTGCATTCACTTATCAGAGAGGCTTCTTGTCTTATTAAGTGCCTATGTGTTTAGAAGAGCTTTGGCTTTTCCATGGATGTTCCCATTTCTTTACCTAATCTGGTGATGGGTGATGAGAAGAGAACATAGACGAATTTTCTTCAAAAGATAAGGATCGGGTCGGGTATATTCTATCCTAGGGAGTGAACAACACGCGCACGACGTAGACGAGGAAATGAGTAAAAATGATCCATTTACAATGATATATAATTGTTTAGTGGGGTTATAGGACACTTTTAAAGTTTAGGTGTCTTTATGAAAATATGGGACAATCTCTAAATATATATATATATATATATATATATATATGAAGAAGTTAGAATAAATGTAATATGAGGTGTAAATTATTTCCAACAGAAACTTTAATTTAGAAATGACAAACAAAAAAGAGTAGAAAAAAAGTTAATATGTACCAAATAAGTGACGATAAATTAATCGTGCTTAATTATTCGATGATATATAATTTTGCAGTTACAACCACAATTTCCACGTTTACCCACTGTTTACAAGGGACAAGGTCAAAACATTTCTTTTAACTTATTTTATTATTAATTATATACACTAAAATATAATGTATCGCTTTTTAATTTTCATCCTTTTTTAATATTGAAAAAGCGTTAGGTACATAAGTAACCAAGAAACATCATGGAATTAGTTTTACTCAAGAAATAAATTTAAAGTAGAAATTGTAAATTGTTTAAGGTTAATTATTTAATATTTATTTATTTTATGTTAGTGAAATACAAGAATTTTGAGTTATTAAATAAATCTTGAGTCTTTCACTTTGACATATATTATTATTTTTAATTACTTTTATCTCTTTGATTACTTACGTGGGCTCCAACATGGGCCTTTTCCATTATAGCACGTTTATCTATCTTATATTATATTATTAAAATAAAAATATTTATAAATTGACTTGTTTGTCCCCTACTTCTTTGTCAATATATACCCTCCACTTCATCTACCTTCCTATCAAATACCGTTCAGTGCTTACTAGCTCATTTCCCCAATTTCTGCCTTATTATCCTAAAAAAAATAAAAAAAAAATGGGTCAAAAATCAGTTGCTGTTGGGCTAAAGATTCTAATTAATCAGAAGAAGATTTGTCAAGGCAAAGCAGTTTTAATTATGTATAGTTCAAGATTCACCAAAGTGAAACCCATCTTCCACACAAATCCTACTCAATCTATCAGTATTCAACATAATAATTGTTGCTTCCTCAAATATTGTTTCCTTTGCAATAAGACCTTGAGACTCGACAAAGAAGTTTACATGTACAAGTACGTATCCGTTTCAATTTATTTCTCATACTTTTCTATTTTTGTTTATTTTTATAAAAAAATTCTTTTCTTATTATACGTTATATTCATCATGAATGATAGAATTTCTATTGAAACTAAAGGAAGAAGCAATTTGATTCACAGTTCAGTTACTCTGACTCGTACTGAAAAAATGGCTTTGGACTTAAAACCAGTCATTCTTAAAAGGGCACCTAAATTTGTTATTTCTTTACTTCGTACTTTTCAGATGATATTTTAAAATTATATTTTTTTAAAAAAAGAATCAGATAAACTAAACAAATTGAAACACAAAACCGATTAACAAACTTAATTTTATGGATTTTCTCTATTTTATTCGTATATCAAAAGTCGGGCCCCATCCCAATTATGTTTACCTAATGTTGGGCCTGACAAATTTTGGACGTGTGGGGGTGTTAAGTGTCATGGGATTAAACAATTGTGCTTCAGTCAAAATTCTGACTTCATAAATTAATTTTTATGGTTGAATTTAGTGAGGTTTATTTTTTTTTTAATCATAAAACGTTAATTAATAATTTCTATATTAATTAATGCAGGGGTGATCTTGGATTTTGCAGTGTAGAGTGTAGAAACAGGCAGATTTATTTGGATGAAATAAAAGAACTTGAGACTTGTACTAAAAGTATGTTACGATCTTTTCGCCGATGTGGAGACGATAACCGCCGGCGGTGTAGTGAGACTTCGGCTCTACTGGAGGAATACAATCAACGGCGAAATCCCATAGCATATTCTAAGAAAAATACTCGACCTATATTCACATTGTCATAATTCGAATTTGTTTTGCTTTATTCTCAAATTCTTTTATTGATTCCAATAAAATTATTGAAGAATATAGTACAAGTATTATTGATCTGACAATTCCATATATGTTTTGGATAAGAAATTTTTTATTAGAAATAAAAGAATATTATTATATGATACTAGCTATTTAGTGATTTTATTTTCGAAAATGAGTTGACAAGTATATATTCGAGATAAGTTATAATTTGAAGTGACAACATGAGCTGTCCAAGATGTTGATGTGGGCGCATAAGTCCATTAAAATCTCCTACGTGACAACAATTGATGACTAGGATGATTTTAACCCAAACTTCTATATATCTTTATCCAATTTCTATTTCTAACTCTATGTTATTGTGTTTCACTTTCTTGGTGTTAATTTATTTGGTGTTGTTGATTGGTCACGAAAGCTTTAAAATAACTATAGATCTTCAAACATTATAATTATTACTTGTATTATTTCGTGATATATATTGAAAGAGCTATATAAGGTAAAATATTTTTAATCAAATAATTAGTTGTTGTGCGTCATTTTTTATACAAATTAAGATATAAATAATATTAAACGATAAACAAGCGTAAAAGAAATCAAAATCAACTTCTTTGAGATAAATCAAGCATTCAAGCAAATTTCCGTTAATATGATGGATCCGAGTAGGAGGTATGTTTCGTCTCTAATAAGTGACATAAATATATAAAACGACCTTTAACAAAATATCTAACTTGGTAGTTGGAAATATTTTATAAATAGAGGCTTTAAGTTATAAGTACTTTGAAATTTTAATAGTAGATCATGCATATAGAAATCAATAAAGAAGTAACACATGAGTCAAACATTGAAGCAGCATGCGGATCAAATATAATGTATTCATTTATGTTAATCTACCCTATTTGGCCTATTTTATAATTGATTTAATACGTAGCTTAAATTAATTCAAATTAAATATATTACTATATGTTACTCTCTCCGGCCATTTATATTTGTCATGTTACACTTTTCGAAAGTTAATTTGACTTATTTTCAAAGTTAAATTAGTTTACATTGATTCGATTATTTTTAAAGAAAAAAATTAGTTATTCAACAAAAAGTATTATACATTGCAATCTTTTTTTACATATCAATATAATGAAAAAATATATCTTAAAATATTAATCAAAATTTGTTAAGTTTGACTCTAAAAATAGAAAGTATGACAATTAATAGTAGACAGAGGGGGGAGTACATAAAGAGATAAGTATATTTTTAAAGATAATTATTTAGTACTCCTTCCTAATTACTTTTCAACTCTTAAATTGATACGCTTATTAAGAAATTAATAATTATTGATATAGTGAATTTATCGTCTTATCCCTATTAATTGTTAAATGGATAAATTAAAAACTTAAGATTTTTCAAGATGTTCTATGTAAAAAAAATTGTTCTTTCTTAATTTGTCAAAATAAACAAGTAACTAGGAACAACTAAAAAAAAAATAAATTAGACGAGTAACTAACAACAGAGTGTTACTAAATAATTTTTTGTATAAATTTGGCAAATGACATACTATAAATGATAAATTACGTTCCATCCCTATGATATCAATATTTACCAAAAATCCCTTATTTTTAATAATTCCGGATACTTTATAAAAAAGAAATGATACTTAAATATAAATGAATATAAATGACTGAATTTTTTTTATGTAACCGTTATAGCTAAAATTAAGGGTAACTGATTTCCCTTTTGTAACTAATTGACCGTGTTAATTGCTTCAGAGATTACTACATTAAATAATCATTTAATTTTTATATTTTCCTTCCCTTTATTTATGTTAATTTTGATACTTATAAAATACTAATATTTAAAATATTAAATTTAAATATATTTCTTGATACATTTAAATTTCGTGTCCAACACATAAAGATACTCAAATTCACAATTTAAATTAGATACTTAAATTTTTATATACTTATCAATAATTCATATAAATATGATACTTAAATAACAGATGTATGACAGTATGATACACATATACTATTATTGGATACCTTAATATATACGAAATATAAGTAAAAATAAAACAAAGAATCCTTCTATCATGAGCACCAAAAAATGATACTTAATAAAATTGATTGAACATACTAACAAATTCATTCAAAAATCATGATAAGATTAAAAAGATACTTAATACAATTCATCTTATACTAAAATATAAATAAACATGTTAACGTGATACTTATAAAATACTAATTGAAACTATATATATAAACGAAATATTAAATTTAAAATATATTTCTTTGATACATTAAATTTCATGTCCAACGCATGAAAATATACTCAAATTCACAATTTAAATTAGATACTTAAATTTTTATACACATATACTATTATTTGATAGCTTAATATATACGAAATATAAGTAAAAAGAAAATAAAGAATCATTCTATCACGTGATACTTACAAAATACTATTTGAATCTATATATAAACGAAAAAATTAAATTTAAATATGTTTCTTTGATACATTAAATTTCATGTCCAACAAAATAAAAAGATACTCAAATTCACAATTTAAATTTGATACTTAAATTTTAGTTACAATATGTCATCTCACCGGAGCTCCGGCGACAAGTACTTATCAAAGGGCATCGTTAACAAACGAGCTGTTGTGGTATTTGTGAGAATTCAAATCTACCTTCCGTTTGTACTCTTTGCGTCAATTACAGGTCATTCACAAAATTTAGCTTAATGTTAAGTTCCTCGTAATGGGTGGGGGTTGCAAGATTCTAATTGTGGAGATGATATGTTTTTGACAGATTTAATTAGTACAACACTGTGTTGAAATCACTAAAGGGGAGGAGAGAAGCATTATGTGGGCAATTAAGTGAAATACTATTGGGCCAAGGCTTTCCATAAGAAAAGTTCTTTCTTGTTATGCCTTCATTTTACATCACATGTGCTTTTATTACTTTCTACAATAAGATGCAATTATCTGTACTTGTTTCTGAAAGAGTTTCCAATTGACAATGAAATACTTGATCAATATTGTTTGTTATATCCAGGAGAATGAAATCGTAGTTGAAGATATAATACATAACATTAATGTTGGTAAATATGGGAAGGTGATTTTTTTGGGGGAAAGGTAAATATGCATTGGGAAGGTAAATTTTGATTTACCTTGGTAAGGTAAATATTGTCTTTTTAATATTTTAATGTATAAAATTTAATTAGTATCATTTGGGATAAAAAAAGGGATTTTTGTAATTAAATACATCAATAGGGAATTAATGAAATTAAATAAATTAAAGTAGTGTATTTTAGTAATTTTTCCTAATTTTTTTTGGGAAGAATTGAACATATTACCTTATGATATATTGATTGGCCCATTTTGAAGCTGCCCATTTCAAACAAAGTAAATGTAAAGGCGGATTAATGATTTTTTTCATTTACTAATTTGACCTATTTTCATAAATTCAAATTCAGTTAAAAAGTTTCCATTTGACACACTAACAAAGACCCAAATAATATTTCTTAGTTTTAATGTGGCCGGTGTTCAAAAAACATTTGCTATATATATATACAGGATGCAATAATTAGGCATAACGACCTGTTTATTATTATTCTATCACATGATCAGTGGCTAGTGCTTTTGCTCTGTAAGATGATAAAAAATAAATAAAATATGAATTAATTTAATATATTCTTTATCACGTTTGAGCAGTTACAAAATTTTATTATATCTTAACTAATTATGAGTTTACACTTAGAAGTACACAATTTTCACGTTCAGACAATATAACAAGAAGGGGACCCAGAAATATTTCTTTCTGCAGCTTGGAATTTATTATATTATGACCCACTGGAAAAGTTGGGGAATTCTCCTAACTTTTCTATTTTTATCGAACGTGGAAACTAGATTTAAGTATTACAGAATATATGGAAATTTATTCCATTAAAAACGCGTTTATTTTTTTGCCTCTTTAAGTTTTTATTGTTTTCATTTTTTTTAGACAAACATCATGGCATTGTTAATTACTGAAAATGCATCTGGCTTTCTACAGTCAAGACTGAAGAGTATAAGCTTCATACACACATTTATCACTTTACATAAATATTTTCAATTGAATTCTTATTTAATGGTTAATCAAAATGATTTAATTCGAGATAAATATGAGTGCAAATAAGTAGCTCACTATGATCCGCTAGCCATAGCCATTGGCGAAAACTAGGTCCATATAGCTGTTGAGTTTGCCGCCACCATCTTATATGAAAAAACTCCATAAAAAATAACGTAGCTAGTCTAGTTCTAGTCAGTACTAATGGAAGTCGTTTCGATATACAAATGTGAATCCTCATCGAAGTCAGATTCATGGATAGGATCTAACAGTCATTGAATCATATTAAGTTGCATTTGTAAAATTGAAGCCCTTTTAGATTATCAAAAAACCAGCATTGGGAATTGTATACCTGTTCAGATTCCCAATGTAATCATCTCCTTATACTATGCTGGAGAAGAAACACTTTTTTTTTAAAAAAAATAAAACAAAATCAGATGGAAGAATTAGACTGTGTGGACGAATTCTATTTCTCAGTATTATTTGATTACGAAGAACCATTGTTCCCAATTTCAGATAAAATGTATGCTGAGGAATTGCAATTGCAAGAGGCCTTATATTCCGCAGCCACGGTTTCAGAATACAATGAGTTTAAAAGAGTGAAGAGAGAATGTTCCGGTACATTTTGCAGTATCTGTACAAACAACAAACTCGCAAACGAAATGTTCGCCGCTGGAGATTGTTCACATTCCTTCTGTGTTAATTGTGTCACTAAATATGTTACTAGAAAAATCGTACAAGAAAATGTTAGCGTTATCAAGTGTCCCGATATTGCTTGTAAGGCCATAGTTAAACCCAAGTTCTGGAGAGAAATTGTTCCTAAGCAAGTGTTGGATCAATTGGAAAAAAAATACTGTGTCTTTGGGTTCAATAAAATTGCACTGTCCTTATAAGGACTGTTCAGCTCTGTTGGTTGATGATGGGAGTGAGGATGTGATTGACTCTGAGTGTCCTAATTGTGGTCGATTGTTCTGTGCTCGGTGTAATGTCTCGTGGCACGAGGGATTGGAGTGCAAGGATTTTCAGCGTTTGGGCAGATTGGAAGGGAGATGTGATGCTGATGGGAATTGCTAAGAACAAGAAATGGAGGAAATGTCCAAAGTGCAAGTGTTATGTTGAAAAGGGTGAAGGCTGCTTCCAACTAACTTGCAGGTATTTTTCTCATAACTTAAATCTTTCTCTCATTCAAGATTAATTTGTTTTGAGTTGTTGCGATTATAAAATAAAATTAGGATTGAAACTCTTGTGTTTATTAACCGTTAATATCTATAGATATGTAATGAATTTCTTAGGCCCTACAATTCAGACCAACAAAAAGTCCAAACAGCTTGAATCTTCTTCTCAAATTCTTATATATTACATAGATACCAAACTGACTGGTATTTATTGAGTTGTGCAAATATTTTTGAGAAATAAGGCAAGAAACACTATACACATTGAACTAACAATATACATGGTATCCAATTGAGAAATTTTTGAATTTGTGGCAGGTGTGGACATGATTTTTGCTACCGCTGTGGAATGGTCCACGAATCTCAACATATCTGTCCTTCAACTTAACTAAAACTCCATTAAGGTCGCTCAAGCTTTCTTTCATGCACGAATCTTGTGCTTTCGATGATTGATTTCAAGGATTCGCATATATTGCAAGTTTAGATTAATATTATTCCTTTTAAAGTTTATGTACTTCTCAGAAGTTTGTATTTTTCTCTTAAATTAAAATAATTATTCGAGTGACCATTTTTAAGTTTCTTTTGCTTTTGAATCTGTAGCATACCTCCTTTTCTATTTACTTCATCATTTTCCTTATTTTCTCGATATATTTTTCATCTGTTTTTCTAACAAGGCATATGGTAGTTGTGATTTTGTTTTACCTTTCTCTATTATGGACATTCTTTCTCAACTCAACGTAGTTACTTTAAAATAAAGTAAGAACATAACAGTCTTTATACTTGGAGAAAAAGGAATGCGGGGTAGACTATAAAATTCATATCAAGTAGATAATAAGAAATTGAAATAATTATGATATTGTACTTAAGAATAAATGGTGGTGTAGGTTCTGGTTGTCCTCTTATCTTTCTCTTCTAATATAAATTTAAGGATATTTGTGTTGGATCTGAACCTTATTCATCAAAAATACTTTGATGGATAAAAATAAGTGAATTTGATTTTTTATCGCCTTTGTATTTGATTTGCATTCATTAGATTTGTTTTGAATGATCTTCATAGAATTGGGACATTTAATCCACGGGAACTCTTTGCCTTGTTAAATTATGAAATTCATATTATAGTTGTAGGTTGGAAGAATTTGGAAAAGACAACTCTTTTCAACCATATTAAAGTCGACATGATGATATTGATTGGTTCAAGCATGCCAGTTGTGTCAAGATGGAAAAGATGAGAAACTTTTCTCGACCGATCAAACAGAAATTGTATTTAATAGCTAGAATATGCCACCTCTGCTATTGTCGAACATGTATGAGCAGGACAATTTTTTTGATCATATTTCGATTGACATGATATATGATTGGACAAAACGTGTCACTTGTGATGGGAAGAAAAAAGTGCAATGAGGACAATATTTTAATTAGTTAGGCTGAAGTTGCAATGATGATATTTGATTGGTTTAAACATGTTAGTTCTGTTAAGTGGGAAGAACTTTGATTAGGATGATTTATTTTGATTAATTTAAATTCTAGTTTTATGTGTTTTTTAATGGTTCAAATACGTCAGTTTTACACTAGGCGTGTTTTCATACATGTTTGATTTGATTAGACAAGTTGTATCACTTTCAGCACGTGACATGGTTTTATTGACTGCTTCATTTGGCTAAATCGTCTCTTGGTATGTCATACCAAATCGCGCATATTATATTAATGGAAAAGGGTTTGATATACCCCTCAACTTTGTCATTTAGAGCTAATATACCCTTGTTATGAAAGTGACTCATATATACCCCTACTTGTAAATGACTCACATATAGCCTTTTCGAATTCTTATAGCCGTAGCCAAAGATCGAGAACAAAGATTATTCATCAAAAACGTCCAAGAATTTCTGAAGACTCCATAAAAAGACATAAAATTAAGAAATTTGTCGGAGCCAACGATGTCGAAATAGAATCAATAAATTTGCGAATTTTGGATACCAATCAAGTTGAAATGGGATCAACAGATTTGCAAATCGTGAATTCTGATCAAGTTGAAACGGAATCAACTGATTTGCAAATATTGAATTCGGGTGAAGTTGAAGTTGATTCTACCTCACTAAATTTTGATGACATCGATGTCACTGAAAATAACAATGATTACGAGAGCAGAAATGATGATGTCGAAATGCAAAAAGTTATCTTCTACTCAGCTTAATTTCATTCTGGTAAAAACTTGAAATCAAGCTCTAATCACGATGTTGGTAAAAAAAAACCTATAGAAATTGAGTATTTGTGTATTCCAGATTCACTTAACCTAAAGAATAGTATTACTGAAATAGGGGAATCTTCATGTACTTCCTGTGAAACTTTAGAAAATGCATTTCCGCTGCCAAACACAATGATCTGGGGCACCAATTGCACTTATTATTACTGTGAGGAATGCATACAGAATATATAGGTAAAAAAATCAATGAGGATATCCAAGAGGTTTCTAGAAAGTGTCATGCTTTTGTTTGCGAGGAAATTTTGGATATCGGTTCAATAATGCCGATTGATTTTCTTATCCAGGTAAGAGATGCCAATTGACCAACGAAAGTTCCAACTTCTCCACTAATTATTGATTGCCCTTTTATGGATTGTATGTGTAAACTAATTGATGATCATCAGAAATATCCAATTAGGGCATGTTTGGAGTGTTGAAAACTTTTAGACGTTAATTGTAAATGCTCACATTTTGGAATGACATATGAGAATTATCAGTTTAGTATATTGGCAGCAACACTGTGGAGGATATCATGATGAACAGGAAGAGGAGGAGAAGGAAGAGGAAGAGGATGAGCAGGGGGAAGAAGAAGAAGCTCCATGATTAAAAACATCGATGACTATGAAAAAAGGTCAAATTTTGTTTCCTTAGAGATAAAATAGTTATTTAAATACTTATTTACTTTATATGCATAGTTTATTATTGATCGAAAAACAGTATGCAGGGTCTTTATTTTTTATTTCAATTAGTTGTTATATTGGTGAAATAAGAATATACATGGTATTAATTTTAAATTAGTTGTTAAATCTGTCTAGGATGGGCTTCTAGTGATTGAGACCGATTGTCCAATGTAAAAGTAGTTTAAAATGCGCAAAATCTTGTATTTTGCAGACTAAATTGTGCTATTTTAAAATAGAGTTCAAGTTCGTATAATCAACTATCAGGTTCATATTTCTTTTATTTTGAATCGCTTATTCAAAATAATTATTACTACATCATTTATGAGAATAAAGTATTCAAGAATAATAAATAATTTAATTTGCTATATAAAAAATTAGGAAAGAGATTTAGAAGTTACCTCTAACATAGGATAAGAAGTATCATATCAATAGAACACAAGATGAATATTAAGTATATAAGTAAGTAGATCTTATATTTTAATGTTTTAAAGTTGTATATGTCTAGAACCAAATAGAACAATAGCATAAATGAATTAGTCTGTTACATATGATATTAAAGTCACTTTTATGTTAGCTATGTCGATGCGAACTATATTAAACTAGTTTACACAAATCCTAATAAGGTGAAGAAAACATCTTTGCTAGGTCTAGGCAAATCTCATGTGATGGGGCAATTCTAAGGCAAATTTTATACGGTGCGACAAACCTCAAGAAGTACATTAAATTCATAAGAGAGGGTGTTTGGGCAAAAATATGTGATAAGCAAATTGGTTTAGGCTCAAAACAAACAATATTATTAGCGAGTTAGGTCATTATTTGGTAGAAAAATGCAATATACACATATTTTATATGAGGTGGTTTACAGGTTAGCAGATATGACAGTCTATTGACATATTTTTTTGCCTTGTGAGTCTAGGCTTATATAAAAAATATTCATAGTCTGGTGAAAAAAATACGACACAAATAATAATTTTAAGGGATAAAAGAATTATTTTAAGGGAATTTAATGGAATCAATTTGGGGCATGAATCAGTTGTGTGCTCTTCTGGTTTTCATTTCATTTTCTCCTCTGTTAGTGAAAATTCAATTTGAAAGGATAAAGTACATTACGACATGTGAAGTTGGCAGGTGCTTATTTTACTTCATATCTTGTCATTTGATTTTATTTCGTATTAATAACTGAATAATCGAACCAAAATTAATAACCAATCGATGAACATTGCTGTTTATAAGTATATATGAGCTCATTTGTACACTTCAATTGTTCTATTCTAAGTCTTAATTTGTATTTGTGCTATCAGTACTTCCAGATGTTCATGAATCTCCTTGAATATATTCCAATTCATGAGTGATATATTTTTTATTCTTATATTGTTGTTGTCAACACCTTTCTAATCACTTCTAGTGTATATCTACTTGCAAGACAGTGTAGTGTTTGTGAAACTCTCATTTGAAGTTTCTAGTGATTTAAGGGTTCGTTTGGTGGGCTTAATAAAAGCAGCTTTAAAAAAGTATCTTTGAAATTGCTGAAACTTATTTTTAAAATAAACAGTTATGCGTTTAGATAAAAGTGCTTTTGAAGTTTCACATGTTTCTTTCTCATCACAAATTATTTATGAGAGGAATATAAATTTATTATAGATTAAAGATATATAATTTGAATAGATTAAAGAACGATTTAAGATTTTATTTTAGTTTCATCCATAGGTAATAATAATTGTCTATCATTCACATATTTCTTTATTATCACAAATTTTTTATAAGAGGAATATAAATTTTTATTTAAGTTATATGTGCAACTTATTTTACATTTTAATAATATATAATTTGAATAGATCACTTGAAAGATTTAAGATTTATTTTCTTTTCATTTTCATTCATTAGTAATAGTAATTGTCTATCATCCACATGTGAAAAGGGAAAAATAGAAAAAAGAGATGTTAGGGTTATGTGGGTAATTTGAAGATTGTATAAAAATATTAA